CTGTCATTACCATCAAGTTGGCCTTTTTGACCACACCCCATAGGCACTCCAAGCATAAGGTGACCAGATTTTCAGATTGGTAAAGAGGGATACCTTTGACCGGGGTGGGTGGGGGGGTGGGCTTGATTAAAAATTTTATACGGAGCAACAAAAATTTTCATACAACGCAAAAATAGTATTGTAATGTTTTTTTATTTCAACATAACTACAATTTACAAATATAATGTTTATTTACATTTATATTTATTAAATATATTGACAAAAATTATGTACAGTACAATTGGTCAAGTTACAATGGCATTGAAAAAAGTGACTGATGACCATTTTTCACACTTAGCAACCATTTTCACATTTAGCGACCGTTGCGTTGCAGCATCCTCATGGTCACGCGATCAAAAGTTTGATGTTTGGCAACAGATTCATATTTATGATGGTTTCAGTGTCCTGGGGTCATGTAACTGCCTCTTTTGTGACCTTTTGACAAAGTCAAATGAGGAAACCAGATTCACTTACGTTACTAACTTATCATCTGCAGTTATTCACTTAAGAACTGTGGCAAGAAAGGTGGTAATGGGGCAAAATTCACCTAACATCACATCAGTGACGTGCGGTTGGTGAGGCAAGAGCGCAGCAGCGGCGAGAAGCAACGTCCCTGCCACTGTGTCCGACAGGCGTCTCGCATTTATGGTGAACATAAATGCGAGACGGCTGTGACACAGCGGCGGAGATTGCATCTCTCTCTCGCCGCTGGTTCTGCTGCACCCCCCCCCGGCTCCTCCGTCCCCGCCGCGAGGCGCCTGCTGTGAGAGAGCGGGCAGCGGGGATTCCTTCTGCACAGTGGTGGAGATCGCTCTCTCGCCACTGGCTCTGCCGCACCCCCCGTGGCTCCTCCATCCCCGCCGCGAGGCGCCTGCCGTGAGAGAGCGGGCGGCGGGGATTCCTTCTGCACAGCGGCGGAGATCACTCTCTCGCCGCTGGCTCTGCCGCACCCCCCGGCTCCTCCATCTCCGCTGTGAGGCGCCTACTGTGAGAGAGCGGGCGGCGGGGATTCCTTCTGCACAGCGGTGGAGATCGCTCTCTCGCCGCTGGCTCTGCCGCACCCCCCCCCCTTTGCACAATAAATAAAATAATATTTTAAAATACATTAAATTAAAAAAAGAAAAGAAAAAAACCCGGCTCACTTACCAGCAGGCAGGCAGTGTCAGAACTTCGATGCAATGGATCCTCTCATCGATGGATGGAAGCATGGAGCAGGCAGGCAGCAGGAACAGGTAAGACACTGACTGGACTGGACTGTGGAGGGACAAAAAAAGGCTAGGGTGCCTTAGTGGTATGGAGAGGAAGCGGGGCGGGCGGGGGGAAATTAGACCGTGGCGGATACTGCCAGGCCGCGGCCTCCCTAGGGAAGCCCTTTGCAACCAAGGCCTTCCCTTGCAAAGCTAGGCCGCCACTGCCCACTTGATTCCCGCCGCCGGAGTTGCTTACCTGAAGCAGCAAAGGCGAAGGCGAAATGGAGACTCGAATCAGCAGTCTTTTCCATCTCCAGCCCGCTCACTGATTGGCTGGAGTCCAGGCACAATCAGTGAGCGGCAGATTGGACTGCCTTAGACTTAGTGTGGATGGGTGGGGGAGCGAGCGAGCGAGCGAAGGCGCCAAAATTAAAAATCGGGACTTTTTGAAAACTACGCGGGACGCGGGACCAATTGTGGGAAAGCGTGCCTGTCCTGCCAAAAGTGGGACGTCTGGACACCTTATCCAAGCAGGAAAAAAAAACCTGAATTAATGTAGTGAATCCACTTTCAGCAGAAATGAAACTCAGTTTCAGATGTTTCAGGCAAGGAAAATTGGGATCTGGAAGGGCTGTAAAAAATTGGACAACCATTAGATAGCAGCAAAATATTACAGAATGTTCTCAGCTGCCATCTAGTGGTCATCTGTATTTTTGCAGTACAGATGCAATGCCTTGAAACTAGAACAGACATTTGTGCCTGGGACGTAGGTATTTTCAGAGCAAGGAATGTAAGCAGAAAGACATTGGTTCTGTGTTTTATCTCTCATACAAGACACCAACATTTCATTTAAGTACTTCTTAAGGGAAGGAGGATATCCCTGAAAGAAAAAAAAAATTAATTCTAGTTGATCCCAGTTAAGAGACTACTCCCCCCCAAAAAAACCCACATCTAAAATTAATCTTGCAGACAATCAGAGATAACTCTATTCATTCTTGTATTTAAAAATTTACCTGAAATGTACCCATTATTTTTCTCAACAGGCTGCCAAAAAGCAAAAGAAGATATTTTGTGGTTTCTATCTAGTAGCTTAACAATTAGTGACAGCAGGTGCTGTTCCCCAGAAGACAAGCCCCACACAAATATCCCCCTCTGCCCAGCTGCCAGCTTTTATATTCTAAATGTAAATTATATTTACATCAATAGTCTTCAATAGCATACAAAATGAAAGCGTGATCATAAGGGATACACACATCCTTGCTAGCAAAACACCTCTTCTTTTTACACTTGAAGTTCTAAAATAAAAAAGATAGGAGAACTGCAGAAGACAGGTCAAAACTCAAGGTCAAGTATACCTCTGCAGGAAAATGCCCCCATCAATATTACAAAAAAGCATGAGCAAGATGCACATTTCCCACCTGTTTCTGCTTTGCTTAGCAGGCCAATCAGCCATGGCTTTTCTGGATTTGAAATGCACTATGAAATCTGTGCAAATATTAGACACAAGAAAATCCAGTGTACAGAATGCAAAAATGAATCAATGTCACCAAAATGTAAAAAATCCAAACAAGCCAAATGAACCAAAGCACATCATCAGCATAGAACTTTTGAGGAAAGAAAAAAATAATATTGATTTCTACTGGAACGATGGCCTACTTCTGGACACCACCTTCATATTGTCTTTGATCCAGGATGATCAGGTATTGAGGCCCAGCAAATTCATCACTGGCTATACCTGAAAATAGATGAGTCATGGGAATCAGACTTGGGAAAGTCTGGGAGGGTTGTGAATTGAATCTTTGTTGAATCTTAGTACTTTCATATGGTCCAGGGGCTAGATAAGCCCACATGGAGCTTATTCCGCATAAGATCGAATTTATACATTTGGTCAGTCGTTGCTCAGAGAGACTGAAGGGGATGGTCAGATGAGCCATATGGTTCTTACCCAAATATACCTTTCTTAGGTGACTAGGCCATGAATTATCCCTGTATTGCTTTTTCCCCTGACCAAATTGGTCATTGGTCAATGGAACAAGCTTTATACACGTGAGTTGATATCTTAGAGGCAGCAATTTCACTTCACTATTGGACACATCTAGGTGTTGGGCAGATTGCTGTCAGTAATTGGGAGGGCACGGTGAATGGCTGGACCTCAGCTGTTTGAGGTAATCCATAAAAATAAGTTTATCACAGGTTTGTTTCACCAAGTCATCGCTCAGGTCTGAAGGACAAAATGTCATAAATTATCTTCCCTAGAAAACAGCATCTTATCAGTCAGGATGATGTTGGCAGGCAAGAAATGTAATTGGCCAACTGACACTGGTTACCCAAAACTGGGGGAGGTCTGTCCCTTATGGTCTCCAGCTAGTTCAGGTAACACAGAATTGAGCAATCTGCATTGTATCAACAGTCCTCTTTTCTTCCTGGCGACACGCCATGCACACTACCCTAAGTTCAGGCTGATGCCCTTAGGCCTGTCTTCAATGAGTTTCAAAACCTCAAGTTGCAGCATGCACGATTTTATAATGTCTGCCACATCTCCCTTTACTTTCCATTCTAGGCTAAAGGACCAATTACTATAATCTTTCCTTATAGGGAAGGTGCTGTATTATTCACACATTTTTCTCTCTTTGCATCTTTTCTATTTTTTTAAAGCATAATGATCCATACTATACAAGGTTTAACACTCCAAATGTATTTTCACTATAGATTTGTATAATAAAATTATGTTGGCAATCCTATTTGGTTTGTCAATAGTTACAAGCATAGCATGTGCTTTTCTTTCTTTTTTTACTTTTTTTAATCCACCGGCATTTGGCTTACAAGCCTGTCCTGGTAACACCTTTTTGTTTCTACCATGTCTCCATGATGCTGAACGCATCTCATTTTCAGTCCATGAATGAGAGATAGCTTATTTTGTGCTAGGTATCATATTTGACCCAATTCTAGGCCAGCTTCAAGGTACTAGGATCTGTCACGGATTACCTTGGGCAGCAGTGAGGTGAGTTGCCTAACTTGAAACAGAGGCAACATTGTTAACCCACTGGGGATAACCCACTTCAAGCAGCAGAGGTCTTCAAACTTGGCAACTGTAAGACTTGTGGACTTCAACTCCCAGAATTCTCCAGTCAGCAGAGCTCCACCCAGCAGAGCAGAGCTGGCTGGAGAATTCTGGGAATTAAAGTCCACAAGTCTTAAAGTTGCCAAGTTTGAAGACACCTGAGCTATAGTTTCCAGCAAGATAGGTCAGCGCCTCAAGTCAATAGTGGGGTGGGGGGAAGCCCACAGTGTGCGTTCTGCAATAAGCTTTATATCAGTCCAAATCAAGCAATATTTAAATGTAAAATGTTACAACACCATACTATGTAAATCCTCTTATGATGTATTAATTTTCTCAATGCATATCACCATTTTTTGTTTCTTAAACTTAAAAGCACCCTGGTAGTTGACATAATACTTGGGAAATTACCCTGAACGAAGGCAGCCCTTCAAGAAAAAAATAGGAAATCAGCCACCTATTTCTCCCCCTTTTTATTCAGCGCTCTTCCAAAAGAAGATCGATATCTCTGAGCTCTTTCGTAAGGCTCCTGTTCTTCGGAAATCCATAGATCGGCATTCTCTTCACTTGATTATTTTTCCCTACCAGTGACAAGTAGATCGGTTATTCGGTGTTCTCCGTTAGGGCTGTTCATAGATTCACTCCGCGTGTAAACCCGGTACGGTAGAGGGTGTGCACGTTTTGTTAGCGGCGCAAACGTGGAAGTGCACCGGAGGAGAAGCGAAGCTCTTATCATTGGTTCCTCCTTGTCACGGTGAAACCAAAGAGCCTTTAGGCTTCAGGTACCAAAGCGCTTGGTGGGACGTTGGGAAGAGAAGCCCATCCTTTCCCCCGCCGTAGCCTGCCAGGTTGTTATTTATTTTCGTTAGCTTCGCATGTTTATTAGGTATAAAATTGATGCCTGGCTTTTCCAACAAGAGTTTCTGATAAGGGGGTTCATATTCATGTGGAGCATATTTTGTCTACTCACCTGGCAGTGGTAAGGCTTAAAAACACAGCAGATTGGTCTAGAGTAGACTCTAGAATAAATGGAAAGAAAAATGATGTAATAAAGTCTATGAGCAAGAATAGAATCTCTCAGCTCAAAGGGACCAGGTCTTCAGCTGCTTTAACTCAGAAAACAAAGGTTTAATACAAGAATGAGAAGTGTACTATAATCTTTCAGAGGTTGACCTACAGTTTTGTGCATTTTCCAACATTGGCTATACTAGCTAGGGCTGTAATACAGCAACTGGTTGTTGTAGTTATGTAACACAAAAGGGATGATTAAATGGCAAAATGATCAAATGGCTGAGGATGTTGGTTTCTGAGGGTTGTTAAAGTCTTACTATGGACTATGGGAAGTAACTAGTTCTGCACTTTTTTTCCATGTAAAGAGCATAGGTTGTCTGCTTATTGGTTGAATGTTTTATGGATTATTTTCCCCCCCCCCAGATTTTGGTATGGAGTTTCAAGCTGTGGTGATGGCTGTAGGTGGTGGATCCCGCATGATGGATCTGACCTCAAATATCCCTAAAGCTCTTCTTCCTATTGGTAATAAACCCTTGATATGGTACCCACTCAACCTGTTGGAACAAGTTGGTTTTGAAGGTAAACAGCCTTGAATATGATGTTTTGCTTTGTGGAGAAATGACATAACAAAAAGTCAAGGACACTATTTCAGCAGTACTGGGAACGAACTTTGTCAATAAATCCAAGGAATCCGGATTTATTGGACTTACCATAGCTGGAAGTCGAGTTAATTCAGGATATCCCATTGTACTTCTAACATGATTTAGAACAAGGGTGTCACTCGCAGCTTGCGGGCTGGATGTGTCATGCACTGGCCACACCCACACCTGGTTTAGGAAAGGGGGGAAAGTCACAATACGTCACGTGACAAAGCCATGCAACCCAAGTTTGACACCTTTGATTTAGAAGGAGGTTATTTGATTGAGATCATCTCTGTATTTAAGTAAACATATACAAGCTTTCTACATAAAGAATGCACACATTGAAATTTTTCTTATCTTTTTTTCTTCTGGGAATTTGATGGGAATATTAACCAAATAAGGGGGCATAATGGCTCAACAGTTAAAGACCGTGTTCAAGACTCGAACAATGCACAATGGGGTGAACTCCTGTTCCTGTCCCAGCTCCTGTCCACCCAGCCCTTCAAAAGCATGCAAATGCAAATAGATTAATAAGTACCACTTTGGTGGGAAGGTAACAGCATTCTGTGCCCCTTTGTTGTATAAGGATGCTGGTCACATGACCATGGAAAGTGTCTTCAGACAACTCTTGGCTCCCTTGGCCAAGAAACAGAGATAAGCACCATGCTCTGCAGAGTTGGACATGATTGGACAGGGAAAGCTTTACCTTTTTATCAACAAAATAGAATCAGTTCAGTGTAGTGATTAAAGCATCTCACTATGAAACTGGCATTAGTCTAGCTCAAATTAGTTTTGGAAGATCTGTGGGAAGCTTCCAAGAAGTAAATTGTGTGTGTGGATGAAAGAGATTGTATTAATGCCATATTTATATGTAAAGGCAGTATAAATCACCCTTTCCTTCCAAAGGTTTTATATGATAATAATATTCACAATTTGAAGCATTAGACTAATTTTTCTCCAAGCACTTTATTCACTGATATATTTTTCATCCAAAATTTTCATTACCTTGGGTTAACTGATATGGTTTATAATGAATATGTAGTGGAGTAATGCAGTATTTCAGTTTTCAAAGTAAAATGGATTCTTGGGAGAATGCACAAATATAGTACCTGTGTGTAATTACACAAAGCAGCTTGCTTTTTCCTGGAATTGTGCAGGAAAATTGTACAATCACATGAAAAAGCGTGTCATATAGTTGTATAATTAGGCTTCACTGTAATATACCGGTAGTTAGTTCTACATTTAGTCTGCTTCTCTAATTCTGTTATGCTGGTAAACATTTTAACAATTCTTAGTTTAACCCAATGTATGAGACCAATCATTGTATCACATATGTTCATAATTAGTTTGTCATGAGTTATATCTTCCATCTGCATTTACAGTCTTTTAAGAAAAGGTCTAAACTGAAGAAGTTTTAATATAAATAATTTTAACTTTAAATGTATTCACACCTGATTAGTCATGAGGTTCAGTAACTTTGCACAAACCCCAGAATCATTTTCCTTATGGACTAGCATTTTAAATGTAATGTGAATAGTGGCAGAATAGCAGTTTTATGAATAATGCTCATTTGCTATGGTTACTATTGAAAATTATCTAACTGAATACGAAATAGGAAATCATACTAGACTTTTTGGCTCCAAGTAGGGAAAGAATAACTAATTGTTCAGTAATCATGGAGCTTAATGTGTAATTAAAATAGCTTAACACATTAACAGAGTTGAAAGGGACATTGGAGGTCTTCTAGTGCAACCCCCTACTCAAGCAGGAGACCCTATACTATTTCAGACAAATGGCTGTTCCCTCTGTTTTTAAAAACCTCTAGTAACGGAGCACCCACAACTTCTGAAGGCAAACTGATCTAGCTCAGGGCTGTCAAACTCCCGGCCCATGGGCCAGATGTGTCATGTGCTGGCCATGCCCACGCCCAGTTTAGCGAAGGGAAAAAAAGCCCCAATACATCCTATGATGCCGCTGTGACGATGTGAGTTTGACACCTCTGATCTAGCTTGTTAAGATTTTTTTTCTAGTGCATCATTTTCTTTTTAGGATATTATTTATTACATGAAGCTAATAGATTCTTATTCATGGTTCCTATGTTTAATTATCATATGGTTAGTAAAGTTTCTAAAACAAAGTTGGCAAAATAGGGTTATAAATAAGCACTAGGATGGGTTTCTACAGGTTGCATCTCTTCTCTGAGCCAAGAATTCTGTATTTTCTGCAGTGTCAAGCAAGAGCTAATGCCCTTTTTTCTTAAATCCCAGTAATAAGAAGTATTCTTTATTAAGGTTGTATTGTGGAGGCTTCAAGGGAAAGTGTCCGGGGAATTTTAAAGCTAGAACAGAGAATGAGCCATGTCTACTATTGTCAAATTGTTCCAGTTTAATGAATGATTTTGTCCTTGCAACAGTAAATACACCAATGGCAGATGATAGAAAGCGTTCCATTCTTGAAAATAGTTCATTTCAAAGCGGATATATTAAGAAATGCTTAATATGTTAACAAATGCTTAATATACTTTATGAAGGATAATTATTGAGCATTTCCAATATTGGTGTTTAGTATGTAGTTTCATTGGAGAAAGGATAAAGAGATTTCTGGCACAGAGACTAGAATAAGAAATTATTACAAAGGCCTTCACTGCTAAAAGATCCTGTTTTCTTTTGAGTTAACCCATTCTGCTTTTTCCATTCCCATTCCATTTCCTTCAAAGGAAATCAGAGCAATAGTTTAGGCTAATTTCCGGAATGCATTAGAGTGCTATGAAAATGTAGTTTCATTTGCAATACTAGCACACTGCCTTTTACTCTGCCTGCTCTTCGTTTAACAAATGGCTAATCTCAAATAATTTCCTTCTGCTTTTCTTCCCAGGGCCACAAGTTTAGGATATTTGGCACCTGGCAAAACGTAGTTAACTAAATGCTAGATCTTGCTTATACGTATAATGTACTTCCTAGAAATCTCCTTTCTGTTAGTTATAAAACTTGTTTTCCTAAGCATTGCTTAGGTCAGATTTCTACCTTCAATAATACTCAAACGACTAAATAAAATATTTCAATCTCCAACAAACCAAATTCCAATCATGAGAATTATTTCTTTGAAATAACTTCAAAACAGAAAAAAAATGCAGAAGAATTTTTCTATTTGGTCCTATACAGATTGGAAAAGAAAACTGACTTAATGAGACACCATTTGCAAAACTGTCCAACCCAATTCCATTTCAAAATAAAATTATTTTAATAAAAAAATGAGTTATTTCCTAAGAAGTCTATACTGTTTGAACAGAAGTTTCCCTCTTACTGCCCAAGAGAAATAGACATTAGCTCAAACTTAAAATATTACTGGCAATGTATTTCATACTCAGTGAAGTGATTCTAAATTTAAAACAACCTAATTCTGAGATATTTCCATTATGAGTGGATTTGCCTAGTTGTTCCCTTGCTGATCCAAAACTGCTTTTGGATTTAATTCCAATGTAGATTAAATGTTTTGATCAGTTCTATGCACCATGATTAATGGCAGGGGCTGTGGGAGTTCAAAACATCTGGTGTTTACTATGCAAGTCTTTGTTCTAGAATCTAGAGATCATTCATAATTATATATTTAAACAGTGGTGGTCTCAGTGCAATTCCCTGGCTGTCCCATTGTTTAGTTTCAACTATTGTGAAAGTTGGCCATTTATTCCTAATCCAAGGTCTCTGCTCATCAAACAATTACAAATGAATAAAGAAACTTTTACTGTGTTAGTTTATTCAAAAACATTGTGATAGATCTATCAAATGTGTTTTGAGAATCCAAATAAATAGTGCATATGAATTTACTACTATCCACATCCATATTGGGACTCTAAAACAGTGTTTCTCAACTTGGCAAATTTAAGACATGTGGACTTCAATTCTTCCCTCTCCCTAAATATACCAGGAATAAATGTTATCCTGAAAAATCTGTTTTCTTAAATGCTTTAAAAAGTTGATATTGCACTGGCTATCTCTTTCTTTCTTTCTTTCTTTCTTTCTCTCTCTCTCTCTCTCTCTCTCTCTCTCTCTCTCTCTCTCCTTCTCTTTCCTGTCTCTCCTCTCTCTCTTCTTTCCCTCCCTCCCCTCCGTCTCCAAGATCACCGTAAGGTACTGCATTTGCTGATTTTAGGAATATTAAATTTTACATATGAGACTTTTTTTTAGAACACTTGGATTAAAACCAATTAAATCAGATGAAAACGTATCTCAAACTCTTCTAAATGTTACATGGGGAGGCTCATGTATGCTTTTTCAAGAGCCTGATTTAATGGAATTTGAATTCAGAAGACAAAATTCCATCTAGACCAGGGGTGTCAAACTGGTGGCCCACGAGTTGGATACGTCATGTGCAGGCCATGCCCACCCCATCTCCACAAATGGGAAAAATGGTGCAAAACATCACATGACAGCAATGTGACGCAGCAAGTTTGACTCCCGTGATCTAGACAATCTCCTAAAATAAGGGACAAGTTGGTTGCAGCCACGAAGCTTTGGCGAGGTAAATTTATATTATTTGCAAAAATGTATATCAATTGTGTAATTACATTACACTACATTACATAATTACATTACACAAATGATGTAAATTGGTACGAATTACATGTTTTAAAATTTAATAGACATTTAAGATTAATAGAGGCTTCCTCCTCCCAACTTTTCCATTATTCAAGTTATATTTCCATATCTTTATTAATGTCTAGCTTTGTGTTAAATACATAATTATATAATATAATTTTTATAGAATATATTCTATAAAAATTATAGAATATATGCAATTATATTGATATTTTTATATTTTTTAGATTTACTATCTTATATTTTGCTTAGGAGGTCTATCTTACAAAAGCAAAATTACATTCAATAAAATAGCATAAAATATTGTTCTGCAGAAATAATGCTATTTTGTTCAGTAAATTATTTTTGCACATTTTGGCATATAATGAGAACTTTGAAGCCTTGAAGAACTTGATCAAATTATTTGAGGACTTTGAAAGTTTTACAGTTTTAAAAGAATATAAACTTTACATTTAAACTTTACATTTAACAGTTACATCATTCTAAACTATCTAAAATGATCTATTCTGAAAAATGTAAACTATTTCATAGACCTATTTACTTTTTCTTTCTTTTCTGCAGAAGTCATTGTGGTTACAACGAAAGATGTTCAGAAAGTGCTAAACTTGGAGACAAAACTGAAGCTGGATATTGTATGTATTGCTGATGATGCAGATATGGGAACTGCAGACTCGTTACGGCAAATTCATGAGAAAATAAAGGTAATACTAAGCATTTAAAATCATTTTAATTTATCATAATATGAGTAATGTGTATGTGCAAAATATAGAAATAATTCAACAGACCAGTGTTCACTAAGGAAATTAAGCAAATTTATTTATTTATTTATTTCTATGCGGTCCATCTCCCCTCAAGGTGATTCTGGGCAGCTAAGATAAACCATCATCTTAGGAGATGTTTAGATCTTGCAAAGCATGTATATGTTTTTGAACTCTTCTTATTCATGCTGTGTCCAATTCAGTTTTAAGGACAAGATTAACAAACTAAGCCAACCAATGAACAATAATGTAATTATTGTGTACCATATCTTTGAGAAATTATGAGAGAAAAATCCATTTGCTAAATAATGTTAAAAATGGATTCATATCTCAATTTAGATAAGCTAACATTAGTACAAAATATATTCGCCACCTTGAGTTATTTCTAAAAATAATAAAGACAGGCTGCCAATAAATAAATAAATAAATAAAAATTCACTATAGATCATAGACTTTCTGTAAGTCTATGATCCATAGTAAATTTATGTAGAAATGTAATATTTCTACATTCAGTGAGATCTGACTCTTAATATTGAACTGAAACACAAGAACAAAAATAATTGACTTCCTATATATTCTAGGTATGATTCAATTTCATTATCCAGCATGTTAGTGAAACAATATTGTGTTCACGGGTACACTAAAGTGCATGTAAATCAAATTTCATTAGAATATTTTGAGCCGGTTGTTGGTTTTTTGTGTTTCTTATGGTTACATGTTTTTATTGTTAATGTTCAATATTTATCTTGATCCAATATAAATTATTTGGATGCTGAATTAAAATTTTAATTCAATTACTTCTTAATATGAAATTAAATTTAACTATATTGATATGCTTTATGAAAGCATATCAGTAATTTAAATAATTGAAATCCACATTACTAATATCAAAAAGCAGTGAAATAAAAACTGAGAAAGTGATAATCTTAGGTCATGAAGTGAACCTGTTGTTGTATATCAGATACACTAGCAGTAAGTTTTAAATCTGAGCTGTGTATCCACATTATTACCACTGCTAGTGCCAGGAATTATCACTGCAGTACCACTGCTGTGAACAGAACTGATTTTATAAAATCAACATGGTGCTATTTAACGAGTTGTTGAATAAGGGAGAAAATGTCTTCTTTTCTGTTTTGGTGGCTTTGCATCCAGCTCATTGCAATATTTTGTTTCCTGGCAGAAAGCAATGTGTGAATTTGGGCAATATTTCGTCTGTTTCCTGAGGTTTGGCAGCAACATCTGTAGACTCAGGTTATGCGGGAAGAGCCTATGGCATAGCTGCTTCCCATGCTATTATTGCTCCTCTTGGGAATAGAAACAATTTTGGTACGCGAAGGAAACCCACCATCAGCACTTCCTACATACTCTCACTTCTTTATAAAATTACAAGGAAAAGCCCTGTGCAATTAAGACTAATGATGGGAAGTGCTCTTGCTTCTTATTCAGTGTGAGCCAGAGACATATAGAACCACAGATATGGCCCAAAACTGTACTGCCTGGGTAAGAAGACTAACCATTTTTGCTGGCATGTGCATAGATAATATTATGTTGGTTTGGAATATGAAGATGAAAGCTGACACATTTTTCCTCTCTCATCCTGTAAAGATCTTCTCCAATTTATGTCAGTAACTATATTCCAACCAGCTATTAAAATATAGTATTCCAGTAGTATAACAGAATGGAAAAATGTACATTTTCCTGCACTAATAAATGTTTACTTGTTTTAATGGAACCCCTGACTAAACCATACAGTTAGATACTATTGTTAGTAGACCTTGACTATGAAGTAATGATAGGTGGACAACCTAGTGTTTCCTAAATCTTTCAGAATAAAAGTTGCAAAAATGTACCCATGATCCTTCCATCAACAATGAAAAAAAGTAGTAATTTCTTGGAAGAGCTGAGCTAAGATTTGCATCCTGTGTACATCTTTAGGAGCCGTGTTGTGGAAAGTGTGATGTCACAGCAGTGGTCTGTATGCTGCTGAGGGTCAGTGATCCATGTAGTTTTGGACAGACAAGTTTAGTGCTTCACTTCCTGTGCTGAAAAACCTTCTTTCCAAATACATGACATAAGAAAGCTCACTGTAATAGCTGGGAGGTGGAATCTGTGTTTTTGGTACAGTTGAGATGGGTTTGGTGACCATGGAAAAAAACCATAACTTGTAACAGAGACGTTTTTGGACTGTTGTTGGATTTAAAAACAACCATGAAATATGTGCATAGAGACAAATGAGACGTTTTACGCCTTTACTTATAGGTTAATTTTGAAATAAATAAATAGAGCATATTATTTCTTAAAGCAGTTTACCAGACTTCTTTTACTGGGGCTTAACCAATGTTCTCTGAAGCACCGTATATATTTCTGAAATAAAAATAACAAGTGCTTTGCCTTACTCACCTCTCTTAACCACACCACAGAGACTTCTATACGACAAAAATAATAATACTTCAAGAGGTTGACAATCATAGGAGCTTTGTTAAGGTCTGTGTCTCAGTGGATTATATGTGAAAATCCTTAGGTCACAATGCACAACCAGAAGCAACTCCCCCCACCCCACCCAAAAAATCATTTTGCTCATTCTAGACATGAATTCATTTTGAAATTCTCTTGTAAACCTGGATCCTATTATGAAAAAGGAATGGTTACAGAGAGAACTACTGTAGGGAATATCAAATTCAAGTTCAATTAAGGTTATGTTAATCCGGTTTTCTTGCATAAACATTTTTCCTCTATGGGCTAGTCAAAGCAATAAATATATTTCCAGCACATATGTGGTAGGAAAGTTGCTTGTTTTGCCGAAGGTCACTATGTATATTTGCTGTTCCCTTATTTTAGTTCTGGAAGAGGATGGAAAAATGTGTGGAGCAGCTAACTCATCTATAAGGCCCATCTTATAAAATAATGCAATGTGCCCGATCAAAACTTGGAATGGAATGACTTATAAATTCTAAGCACTGGTTATACATCTTCAAAACAGAATTAATCTTTTTACTATTGTAATTAGAAAAGTTATCTATGGAGATTCTCAATCATCCGGGTCATGATTGTCCCAAAGGTGCTTTTTTCTAAAAGGGAAATAGACTTTCTTGGGTTTTTTTTTTCCTTTGAAAATGTTTTGTGTCTCATCCAAGAACCTCAACTGAAGAAGCTTCTTGAATGAGAAACAAAGTGTTTTCAGAGAAAAGAACCCAAAGTCCAATTGCCTTTTGGAAAAAGCACCTCTGGGATAGAAGTACCACTTTTGCATCTCTTCTAGAAAGGAAGAAAGGGTTGCCTTTTCTTTAGGTGTGTTCTCAAAAGTCCTCCTTAAATCTTAGAATTGAGAATTAGGTTGCTACTATTCTTTCTGTAGAATGAATATTTTATTGGTATAGAGTCCAGTGATGGTGAACCTTTTTCTTACGGCATGCCAAAATTGCACATGTGCGCATGCCTGCATGCCCACACCAATTCAATCCTCCCCACCCACTTGCACACGACCCCTCCCCAGCCTCCAGAGGCTTTCCTGAAATCTGGGGAGGGCGAAAAGCAGCTGGCTGGGACATGCATGCGTGCCAGAGCTGACGGTTCACATGCCAACAAATATGGCTCCGTGTGTCACCTGTGGCACGCATGCCATAGGTTCGTCATCACGGGTATAGACCATTATGGTTTTGAAGTGAAATGGGGACTATTTTCTCTTTTAAAAGATCACAAAAGTAGTAAAAAGTTGGCAAGATTTGGGTCTCCTGGATGGCAGAAACTGATAAAATAAGGTACTTGATTGAAGTTGAGCTCCAGAAAAAAATGTGTTGTTGGTGCTGATTATTTTAAGTAATACAATAAGCTGAATAAGTCTTATCAACTCACTGAGACCATATTGAAATTATTTAAATATGTGTGTGTAGATAAATCTGCACCAGCAGTCATAAGTTGCAAATGTGGATTACAGGCTCCCTGAATTCTTAGTGGGAATTGTACAACACAGTATCAGTATATACTAATATCAGTATCAATATATTGGTACATAGTTGACATACAGTTGTTAAAAGAAGATGGTTACATGAGAAAGCTCTTGAATTAGCTACTTCTTTCATGCTGATTCCCCTCTAAATCCTTCATGCACCAAATGTATGCGCATATGCATATGCATGTATGTGTGTGTATGTACATACATACATACATACATACATACATATGCACGTAAGCATCAAATACAAATTCCTTGTGTGTCCAATCAGACTTGGCCAGTAAAGAATTCTATTTTATTCTATTCTATTCTAGCAGCTTTATTCACTGTGCTGTAATTTAATAGTGTATAATACCAGACATTATTTACACAGACTCTCACAGAAGTTACGCAGTTGCTATACTTTCGTTCTCTTCACAGGTTTACATTGTGTACATAGGTTTAGAGCCCCATCTGTAATCGTTTGGATCATATTAAGGTGGATAGGTAACTTTGATATAGTGGCATATTGGCTGAATGATATACAGGCGAAACTTGAAAAATTAGAATATCGTGCAAAAGTTCATTTACCGTATTTTTCAGAGTATAAAATGCATCTTTTTTCCTCAAAAAAGAGGCTGAAAATCTGGATGCGTCTTATACATCGAATACAGCATTTTTTGCCTCCCGAAGCCCTGCCCCTTCACCAAAATGGCCGTGCAGAGCCTTATGAAGGCTTCCAGAGAGCTACTGGGGGCTGGGGAGGGCAGAAATGAGCAAAGAATGGGCCACTTTTTGACCCCCAGCTCCCAGCAGCACTCTATAAGCCTCCATAATGCTATGCATGCAATTTTTTTTGACAAAAAACAGGCCCGTTTTCACAAAAAATGGGCTGTTGTTTGCTCTTTTTTGGCCCCCCACTCCCCAGGAGCACTCTGCAAGCCCCCCAAGGCTATTGATGCCTTTTATTTGAAAAAAAACAGGCCCGTTTTCACGAAAAATGGACCATTTT